TTCTATAGCCTATTTATATGAGATCTCAAAAGAAAATTTTCGGAACCTTAAGGTTTTCAAAAAGATCTTCTGGAAAACCTATTAATATAAATGTACTTTTTTATCTCTCTAGACTTATAATAACGTTTAGCAGACAACATTAATCATATTCTGAAGTTCTGAAGTCGTTCCGAAGCTTTTTGAGTAAATACTGACTTTTTTTAATACTAGTCGAAAACCACCTGAAAACCGAAACCGCCTTTGAAACGTTTTTTATGTGGAAAAATCGTGAAAAAACCATGACGTTCACTGAAGTTATTAGATGCATTTCGGAGGTAAATGCCACCATGGACGTCCGAAAGGAACAATGAGAAATAAGGGTAAGTCATTTTGTAAATCTACCTAGTCTTTTGTGTTAAGGGCTAAAGCCGTCATTTGCATCTCAGTAGATTCGCTGAAAGTCCACTTTAAAAGTACGGTTCGCTTTTTTAAAATTTTGTATCGTTGCTGAGAAAATTCATTTTTTCTAAATAAGAGGCGAAAAGTCGTAATTCTCCTCGTAATTCTCAATTTTCTCCAACAGAAGTCAACTTCTATGGAATAAAACTATCATATTTGAATATACTGGCATTCTTTGACCTTTTTACGTTTTCTATAAAGCTAAGTATATTTAATATAATTGAAAACCATTTTTGTAAAATCATTTACATAAAACGAATTTCTTCACCTATTGCGACTGGATGAGTTAGCAAATTTTCGGCCTGTTAATGTTTGTTGAGCCTTTTGGCATTCATCAATGGATGTAAATTCCACAAATATATCTAAAAACAAAGGTGTCATGCAAGATAGTATTGAAAAATGAAATAGACTGTGATTACCTTTCCAACTTCTGGCACATCAACTCCCAGTTTTGGGCGCGGTTCATCTGTTTACCTTCAAATTCTTCATCATCTCTTAATTCTACTTCTGTAACCATATTCAACCAACATAAAACTTCTGTTGTTGGTCTAGATCCAGACGATAAATTTAAACCAGGAACTTGAACATTCATTGGGACAGATGTCATCCAAAACAGAGACAATATTTCTGTGATAAAACCATGTCATACAGGAGTCTTTCTTTCATTGTTTTATTTCTTTTCTCTTTTCGTGTTTATAGATCCTCCCCATACAAGCATTAGGGTCATCGCATGTTAGTCGTCAGTATGCAACATTATACTCGTATACAAAAGTCAAAGACTGCAATTATGAATATGATTGTTTCCAAGATTTACAATCGAAATAAACAGATGGACTGATTCGAACTGTGAAACTCTTTACCTGTCACAAGTGTTTAAAATAAATAAACTTACTCCTGGCGTATTTTTAGTTTCAACATTGGCCAATTACACAATGGTTTTTTTGTCTCCCCGTTGCATTCCATTTAGACCTTGGATGATGGCATCCTGCCTTCAGCAGACAATGATTATCTTAGTGATGCCACAAAGCAGGTTTCGTACAGTATAGAACAGAAAAAGTTGCATGGAACTGTTCCCTCAGTCGAACCAACTGTTTCCCAGCCACGGATTTAGGGTGCTGGCGAATCCTTAAAAAGGTATATACATGGTGACAAAAGTTTAAACCCTTTTTAGGGGGAGAGTACCTCTTTTTTTTTAGAGAATAGGATAACACTTCTAAAACCAACCCTAGTGAATGTACTTGGTTTAAGTAATGAGGACAGTACTTGAAGACTTTTGCAAGTAAATTTACTTGATCAGTAAAATGTAAGTACTTGGCTGATACAATGCAAGTAAATTTACTTCAAAAGCTTCAGTCAAATACTTATTACATTTATCTTCATTTGTATTTTGTACGTATTCTGCAACCATGCTCTACTTTTGTAGGGCAAAGATATGCACGGCTACTAAGTTTGTTCAACTCAGTAGAAATATATGACTTTATTTTATAATTGTATAACGGTGGATATTGTGGTGTTTATATACCAGTGGTCAATGCAAAAGAAAAGGGTGACTGACTTGTCCAAGTGCTTGGCTGAAGCAAGTCAGGTGACGATACTTGGCAAGTTCTTCATCAAGTAATCAAGTACATTCACTAGGGAGTATCGCATTTTCTCTTTGCATGTTTCACTAGGTAGAACGGTTTGTCTTTTTTCTTTATTGTATTTAACAGTTTTATCGTTATTAATGAACCAGTATGTTGAAGCCCTTCCAGTTCAACCACATCGTAACGAATTGTTGTCGTAGAATAAGACCAATATCATCGTATTCATGAAAGCTGAAGCAATAGCGTTTTTGTCCGCCCTTTATTTTGTTTGTTGGCTCGGATGTAAGCGATAATCAATCGTACTCTAAAAAAACATTTGCGTATCCTAGACAACCAAAAAGAGGTCACTTCTATGCCGAGACATCCTTTTTGGAATCCTGAGTGACAAATGCAGATACACTCTTTGTTTTGAGTCCTGTGAATTAGAAATGCTCTCAACCGTATTTTAGTGTACCGTTTTGGTCTTGTGGGTTTCCTTTGTGAGTATTTCTAATTTCACAGAACCCAAAAAAAAAGGGTATCGACATTTGTCACTCAGCGATTTCAAAAAGGGTATCTCGGCATAGAAATATCCTTTTTTTGCTTCTGTAGGATGAGAAATCTTTTTAAAGAGTATAAGAACAACAACCATTTGATTTAGATATCTGTGTGGGCAAAATATTAATCACCGACTGGTTCTCTAACGGTGTCGGTCTTTTTAGAAGATTGCCATACCAGCAAAATTTGTTTGACAAGCGACATTATTTAAATACGGAAATGTAGTCACTTTCCATATTCTTTGTCGGTAAAACTACAGTCAAGCCGCGAGGCGATAGGCTTACGTCTTACCAGGTTTTAACTCTACGAGGCTCAACCTCACTATATTTTGAGAAAAAGTTTCAGTTCCAAAGAATGGAAAAGTTCATGGTCGAGCTGAGAAAGGGCACATACTACAGCCCAGAATGGCTAATTAGTCACAAAAAAACAGAAATGAGCCCGTTTATAATTTCGTTTGCTTTATTGTATATGTACAATGAAGCCCGGATAAAATATATCTGTTGCATAAGTAACGTACCTGATTTTATGGATCATGGTCCATTATCTTTCAAACTACTTTCAACAAGAAAAATGTTCTTTTTACCAACAGACGACGATTATCTCGAACTTCATGTTTTCTATTTTTGAAAAGTATATATACTAATGTACAAAAACACGTTCACTTTAAGTTGAACTGTTTTTCTTAATAATGATGTTATTTAATATTCTATCAACACTACAGTTATTTCGTAAACGTAAAGGACTTGAGTGTCAGAAAAAAAATAAAATTAGCACTGTCAAAAAATTGAAAGTTTTTTTGTAGATATTTGCCATTTCTTACAAATATAAGTGAAAACATAAGAACTTGTAAGAAATGTTTTGGAGTTATAGGTTGTCCGAGTTCTCTGTCGATTCTACACAAACAATAAAGAAAACGAAATTATAAACGGGTTCATTTGTGTTTGAAAGAGTAGATAATTCATATTTTTTGAACTCCGGGCTCATCTCTGTCTCTTTGCAACTAATTTACCAGTCCGAACTCTAATATGTGCTTTTTCCGAGCTCAATTATTTTCACGTCCTTAAAGAATTTAAGTTTTTGATATTCAAAAAAGAAAAGTTCCTAAAATAATGAAGTCTACCTTAGTCAACGTGGGAGGCCTAAAGTACTTTTACTTTTTTAATTGTGAGATAACCTGCAAAAAATCATTCTCTACTAGCTCGTACGAGAAGTTCTTTAAAAGCATACTATCTTCGCGCGAGAAAAAATCGTGAGCCTCACAAGGTTTGAAGATGGTCCGTCGCCTATGAAATGTGCTTCACTCATGATATTATGAAGTATTACAAATTTTAGCCACGAATATAGGTAAGATCAAAATTGATTAAAGTTATCTGCACCAGATCGGTCGGATCAACTGATTTAAAAGCCGAACCAGCTTTGATTCTAATATATAAATAATGATTTTAGAAGAACTCAGCTTGAATGCAGAGGGATTGAACCGGCAGTACGAGAAATTATAGCTAAATGTCTCTTGCAAGAAGTCAAGAAAATGCATAAGTTATTGGGATTTGAGGAAATAAATTTTTCTGTAATCGGCTCGGGAAGCACACTTTAAATCCTATTAGTTCCGTTAGCAATTGTCATCAGCGTACTGTGTGAAAAATATATTTAAGAAGTTTCTTTTACAAAATCATGTTCATCGATGGCGAGAAATTTTTTGTAGTTTGTACTGTGCATTGCCACCAACTAAATTTATTTGTACCGATCCTACTCAGGGTAGAAGTTAACATCACCGATGGCAATCGATGTCTTTGTACGCGGATATCTAATCCAGTTGTTTTATAGAATGAATATCATAAAATAATAGGTGTAATTGAATTGCTCACTCAGAGTCTACACTAGGGAAATAAAGGGAAAAGAAAAGTACTTCTTGACCTGTTCACAGAATGTATATCACATTAAAAAAAAGAAAGCAAAAGAAAATTTGACTAATGGCCAAGAAACCACCGTTCATACTCTTGTTGCTTACTTCTTGTTGTCATCTTTATCTATCTAATGCATTTTGATGCAATCATTACGAAACCATGTTGACAAACTCATCAGGATCGCTTTGTTTACAACTGTAGACATACTTGACTGCTTTTGAATTTGGTCTTTACGATTTGTCTATCACATTGCTTGCAGAATTACGGATGGTATTATTTGTTTCTATTTCATGACACTGACGGTCAAGTGGTACTAGCGCTTATCTTTAGAAATTTTGTTTATCTGTTTTAAGTGCAGAAGAATCTGAATAGAGTAACTTGCTACCACCTCAGATAAACTGTACATCTTATGAAGTGAAGTGAATTGACTACTATGAATTTTCATGCCATTTAGCCATATTATCAACTCGGAAAAGAGTTCATGTGCTCGTTTTTTATGTTGAATATTGTCGTTCTATTCTGCACACGATAATATAAAAAGAAAGTGATGACGAAAATTTTTACTGAACTTCCACATCTTTAAAATATTAATTATGCTTGAAGTCACAAATTTTATTTTATTTCCCCTATATTCAACACGATTTGCAATAGTCATGTTTTCCCTTCTGTTTTCGATCTAAATCATTGTTGCCGAAAAATAAGCAATATCTTGTGATTGTTCTTTTAGCGTCTTTTCTCGACCAACATTGTAATTAACATTTTTTTATTTTTTCCTTCAGTAATAATCGTAAATATAGTAAAGATAATTTACAGTGAAATTCAAACAAAAATATTTCATTAGAACTTCTACTTGTAAATGATAACTATTGTCCTTCATTCAGAAATAAACTGTTGTTATTTATCTAACTTTTATTTTATAATAGTTTTGTGTATGTGTGGGTAATACATGGACGTTGTCGTATTCCAGAAAACTTCTGAAAGTTTTTTGAAACTTTTAGAAAGTCTATTATATCAATGACGCTGAATGATTTTTATTTCAAACGCTTTCACCGGAAAATTTTATGATGGATGCTCATATCTACGCATAGTAATTTTTAATGAAGTGTAAATGTGAAGTAAAGTTTGTAAAAAAATAAAATTTGTTTAGTAGAGTATAATAAATATAAGAAGTTATTAATAACAGCGACTCTGTTAGAGATGCTTCATAGAGCACATACGGAAAGAAATACAATATGCTTTTTGTAGCAATAAAGAAAAAAATGCCTTTTAGCCATATAAATTTTTTAAAAGATAATTATACATTTTCAATTCATGCGAAAAAGTATAAAGTTCAAAACCCAAAACAAATATGTTAAATAAACGTCTTGATATCTAGAAAATTTAATTCGTAAAATATTCTAATACCCTCTATAATAGCCCTAAACTAGAATCTGATAAAATCAGTAGACAGAACTCGCTGAAATGATTTTAGTAATATTGAATAATATTTAGATGAAAAATTATTAGCGACTATTAACAGTCAAAAATTTACGCTAATCGGCATTAACATCCCCAAAAAAAGCGTAAGATATTCGACTCTTAATGATTGAGTTATGTTTATGTTCACTAAAATTAGAAGATAGATGTTAATATCTTTTTGGATGTTATCTACTAGATTTTGACTGATAATAGCTGCTAATAAGTATCCATCTAAATATTATTCAATGTTTGTTATAATCATCTCTATGAGTTCTGTCTGTTGGCGCAATCAGATTTCAATTCAAGATTTTTAGTGGATAATTAGCATATTTTACAACTACTCGTCAATCTATGTATCGTGTAATATTCCTATAACATTATCTCTATCACTTTTAGACTAATCCTGCGCTAACGTAAACATCTACATCTCTTCTAGTGGATATGTTATTGATGTACGTTGTTCTTATAAACAAAAATAAATAACTAATTAGAACAATTTCACATAATTAACAAAATCTAACAAACGTACGTGTAATATAAATAGAGTTCAAAGACTTCAAATCATCAGTTTTAGATAAATATGAAGAGCAAAAATTTAAAGAATTATGCTGAAAAATCGGATAAAAGACGGTAATTTTGTATTCAATAGACATGAAAATTTACCTTTTAAGTTCAACTTTATATTCCGAGTGAGATCTATCGTTATTTGAATGATCTTTAAAAAGAAAATTTATTCTCTAGCGAGGCTTATAAGGTTCATTGGCACTAGTTTATTACATATAATGTTTTAAGCTAAGTAGAATATATTTTTGTCGTGCCAAAGTTGTCCCTTGATTATACATGTGGGATTACAATAGTTCTTCTTTTGTTGCACGCAATATATCCTTTTTTTCTTCTTCCTTTTCTTGGTCTGCTATTATTTTTAATCGTTTTTCTTCTTTTTTTTACACACTTAAATAGAAAAAGAGAGAGATTTATTATTATTATTATTATTATTATTATTTCAAAAAAACATATAGTTATAATTATCTGTTTCCACGATTCTCATTATTATTATAGATATTTATTCATTCATAGCATTTTAGTTCAAATAATAATAACAATGAGTTTCACATATTGTTGTTTTCTTCTTTCTTTTTTTTTTTTCTTCTCATTTTTTTTCCAAATTTATACCGTTAGACTTGTTGTAGTTTGAATAAAAAATAGAGCATTTTTTGTTTTTTCTTCTCTCTTCTTGAACTCTTTTCCGTACATCATCCATGTTTGAATATGTTTCTTCTTTCACTATTATTGATAGAAAAGAAAAGATAAATTTTTTTTTCATCGTTCTATCATGATCTGTAGATAGAATGTGACAAAAAGCATTACAAACTCGTTTTCTTCTTTTCAGAAAAATTGATGTTCCCCGCGTTTCTCTCATACTCATAGTTTTCTTCCTTTTTACCCCTCTATGTATTCATCACAAAAAAACATCATATATTTCTCTATAGTAATTCTAAACTTTAAAATGAACAAATGTTGTTGTCCCATGGAAAAAAGGAGAGGAGAAAAAAACAGAGAATTTTTTTTTGTCAATCATATTTATTGTTTTCACAAATAACTCTTTTATTTTACTACTCTCGGAACAGACATACATATATATATACACACAAAAAAAAAAAAAAAAAAATAGAAAAATGAGCACAAGAGAGAATAGACATATAACTAGACAACAGACTATATAAGTGTTGTGAGGTGTGAAAATGTCTAATATTACATTGTCATTAAATAACAACATCGACATATACGAGTAGTAGTAGTAATAAACAATCATGATATATCGACAATATTTGTTAACACTTATATTTGGTTTAAATTTTTCTTTTTGTTATTCAAAAACAAAAACAACAACAACAACATCATCATCATCATCAGCTCAAATACCTGTTACTAAAGATTGGCTTATTGAATTTCAACAAAAAATTGAACCAGATGAAGCGAAACGAATTGCTAAACGATATGCCATGGTTAGCAAAGGACCGGTAAGAATCATAATGTAAAAGAAAAAATTTATTTTCTATTTATAAAAGATAACATCATTTATCAAAATCTAAAATTAATTATTTTATCATTTCTAACTAATAAAAATTGATTATTTTGACAATATTTTCTAAAATGGATTTTGAATAATAGACATTTTTTAAAAACATTTAAAATATCATTTGCTCTAATTATCATGAAATAGTGAGTTTTTTTAATATTTTAATTTTGAAGGGAAAATTATGGATAAAAACATCGAATTATAGTCTATCAATCAGTTATTATGTTACATTAGCATAAGCTAGCCTTTCTTTACAACAACTATGTTTGCAAAAATAAAAATTCAGTTCAATTCAGTTTAGTTATCAAATACTAATTGGTCTGTTAGACACTTATTAGGAATTATACAATAGTATAAATCGCAGTTAATAAGTATGTTTTCAGTTATATGTTCTTCATTCATTTGCTACTTAATAACATAAACTGTTTACACATACAGATAGGATTTGATTAAAATGAAACGAGTCTAAAAGAAAGAAATTGTAAAAATTTACTAACAAACATAATCTAATAAACAACTTCTTTTCTTTTTTAATCAGTATCTTAACACGCAGTTTTATGCACATCATCTTCTTTCCTTTTTTTTTTGACAATATACAATGGTAAAATTTTTTTTTTAAATTACAAATTATAGTATAAACCAGTATTTTTCATGTAAGTCAAGTCAATTAGCACATATTCTATTCCAATTAGTTTTCATTTATCAAATAAAAAAACAAAAAAAAAGTCATAAAAAATAAAATAAAACATCATCGTTGACAGGTTGGTTATTGTTGTTTTTTTTCATAGCTAATTTTTACCAATCATGAACAAAAATAAATGTTTATAAAAACTCTTTATGTCAATTGTATTTTTTTGTAAAAATAATTATAACAACAGTATCTAGACAGTCTGAAGAAGATTTTACAATTTTTAACGTCTAATAATATATAAATGTATCGCTGTTTAGAAAATTTTTGTTTTTTTTAATGAATCTAATAATGACTAGTGTTTCAGAAGGTCGATTCTCGAGTTTAGAAATAAGATGATGTAAAAAAGAATAAGCACAATAGATCTGGAAAATATTTATAATAACAGTAGAAAAATGCATTTTTTCACATATGTTTTTCATCTCTTCAATAATAAATATAATTTTAATTAATTAAAGTGTTAAGCTTCTTTTCATAATATGATGGCATAACACTTAAAAGAAACTTTATTTTAAATGAATCATATATATATGTGTGTGTGTGTGTTATTATCTAGGTTCTGAAGGATAAAAAATTATATCATTTTGTTGATTTAAAACCAATTCATCATAGACGAAAACGAGATACAAATCAAGAACAATTTATTGAACGACATGAACTAGTAAGTTATTTGGATAAAATGAATAAAATTATTAAAATAAAAAAAGAATTGAAAAAAAAGTTTTTTTTTTTTTTTTTTAAACTTATTACTAGGTAAAACGAGCTATTCATCAAGTGGGTTATGTACGAGCAAAACGTGGCTATCGAAGTATTGAAGATTTAAAAGATATATATCCCGATTATACACCACCAACTGATCCCTATTTTCAATTTCAATGGTATCTGGTATGTAATAGATAAAAAATTTCTATTATTTAAAAAAAAAAAATGATTTATTTTTATTAAAAATTAGAGAAATGAGGGTCAAGCAGGCGGTAAAAAAAGATTAGATTTAAATGTAGAAGAAGCATGGGCAATGGGTTATACAGGAAAAAATATAACAACAGCAATTATGGATGATGGAGTCGATTATACACATCCAGATTTAATGAATAATTATGTATGTATAATCAGAAATGTATAAAAATAATATATCAACTTCTCTTATGTTTAGAATGCTGCTGCCAGTTACGATTTTAGTAGTAATGATCGTTATCCTTATCCACGTTATACTGATGACTGGTTCAATAGGTGAGCTTTAGTCTATAATAATAAAAAAAGAACATTACGCATTTCACTATTTCTCTTATTTTTTTAGTCATGGTACAAGATGTGCTGGAGAAATAGCAGCGGCTCGTGATAATAATATCTGCGGTGTTGGTGTTGCATATGATTCAACTGTAGCAGGTAAAATTTTTTCAAATTTATTTAGAATTGATTCGTTACTAAAAGCTGTCTTGTATTAGGTATTCGAATGTTGGATCAACCCTACATGACTGATCTGATTGAAGCAAATTCAATGGCACATGAACCAGACATGATCGATATTTATAGCGCATCTTGGGGTAATTATTATTTAACTAATATTTATAAAGATAAAATTTTTCCATTAAATTTTCTTTTTTGTTTTTTTTTTTGATTTTTAATAGGTCCGGTTGATGATGGAAAAACAGTTGACGGTCCAAGACATGCAACAATGAAAGCAATTGTTAAAGGAATAAACGAAGTTAGTAGAATGATATCAATAATCTTCTTCTTCTTTTTTTTTTTTAACAATTATTTACGTTCAACTCGAAATTACAGGGACGTCGAGGGTTAGGTACGTGTGTATACCTTTGTCTATATGTGCTTTTGTATGTAACGTAATTTTATATTATAAGAATTTTTTCCCTATAAGAAAATTTTAATTGCGCTAATTTGACACATTTAATTTGTACTATGCACAATGACATAAAGATTTTTTTTTTGTCTATGTGACAAAATGTTTTAAGAAGTTAATTATTTTAGAAAATTTTATAATATATTATGATAAAAATTTTAGGCTCATTGTACGTTTGGGCAAGTGGTGATGGTGGAGCAAATGATGATTGTAATTGTGATGGTTATGCAGCGAGTATGTGGACTATTTCAATTAATTCAGCTATCAATGATGGACGAACAGCATTATATGATGAATCATGTTCATCAACATTAGCTTCAACATTCAGTAATGGAAGATCAGACGATCCACACGCCGGTTAGTTCATATATTCTTCTAATTTAACTAATTAAAATGAATTATCTATAAAAATTCTTAAGGTGTGGCAACAACCGATTTATACGGGCAATGTACATTAAAACATAGTGGAACATCGGCCGCAGCGCCCGAGGCAGCTGGTGTTTTTGCTTTAGCATTAGAAGCAAAGTAAAATGATTGTTATTTTTATTTTTTTTTTGTCTATTTTTTCGAAAAAGTTTTAGTATTGGTCGATATTATTATTAACATTTATTTTTAGTCCAAATTTAACGTGGCGTGATATACAACATTTAACAGTATTAACAGCTAAACGTAATCAATTATATGATCCATCTAAACAACATTTATGGCATATTAATGGAGCTGGTCTTGAATTTAATCATTTGTTTGGCTACGGTGTATTAGATGCTGGTGATATGGTACGTCATGCTAAAGATTGGAAACCATTACCACCTCGATATCATTGTCAAGCAGGACAAATTTCTAAACGACAGTAAGCTAAAAACGACTCAAATATCCAATGAAAAATAATATTAATCTTTTATTTTGTGTGTGTGTTTTTTTTTTTTTTCTTTTTCAAAAGAATAATTCCAGAACAAGGTAATCTTACATTAAAAATCACTACGGATGCATGTAAGAATACACAAGATGAAGTTGGATATCTTGAACATGTGCAAGTTTTTGTTACATTAAAATCCAGTAGAAGAGGAAATGCAGTTATTTTTATAACATCACCATTAGGAACAAGGTAGAATTACTAAATAAGAAGATAAGTATTATTTTTATATATCTCATATTTTATGTATTCTATTTTAGATCATTGATATTAAGTCGTCGCCCGCTTGATGATGATTCAACAAATGGTTTTTATAAATGGCCATTTATGACTACACATGCATGGGCTGAAAAAGGTCAAGGAACATGGACTCTTGAAATATTATTTGATAATGATGATAATGAAGATGCTCCATTAACAAAACAACAATTAATGGATAAACAAAAACAAAAAAATCAAACTGTTAATAACAATTTGAATAATAAAAAGACAACCGGTGAATTTTTTGAATGGACACTTCTTTTACATGGTACACGTGAACAACCATACAGTAATCAAACACAAACAAATTGGAAATCAAAATTAGCTATTGCAAAACAAATACATGAAAATAATTTTAAAGATAAAGCAAAATATATTGAATTATTAAAACAAGATCATCAAAAACGTTTGGGAAGTGATGATAGTATGATGGAAAGAAAATTTTAAAATTTTACATAAGTCTTGTTATTATTTCTGTATAAAATACAGACATTCGATACAACGTAGATTTGTTCGACTCTCTCTTTGTTTCTTACTTATAAAAACTTACGAAACAAAATGTTGGTAGAAAAAGAAAAGAAAACAAAAGAAATATATTTTTATTTTCATTGTTGATTCTATTTCCCGTGTACAGTACAGTAATACATAAATATTTTATTTTAATAACAACTTTCAAGTAAAAAGAATGTAACGAACGGAATAAGAAGATTGCATCTCAATATATAAATGGGTAAATCAAAGAATCGGAGACATATTTTTTTTTTTTGTTCTAGTTGAAAACGGCAGTACATACAGGAAATTTCAGTGTATTGCTAAAGAATTACTCTTTAAAGTTGATATTGAGGTGAAATCGCTAATACTCTTACTATTGTCTAGTTTAAATAGATAAAAAATGATAGACTTATTTTCAATCGTTTAGATTCTGCTATTGAATTTTTTAAAAGTTCAAAGTCTGATGAACGATGACCTCTGAAATACATTCAAAAAAACATACATTAACGGGCATGTTGAGTCTTCTGGCAGTATTTTATTTTGATTAAAAATTGTAGACTATTATTACATAAATAGACTTAGAGTATACTCTAAAGTTTTGAAGCAATTTTGAATGAATAGATAAGTGGGCAATATGTCAAAGTAGTTCTCTTTTTTTTTCCTCAAAAACATTAACAATTCTGCTAAAGGCTATCAAATGTTAGAAAATCTAAATACTTATTCTAATATCACTCATATTCATATTTTATCATATGTTTCTATTTGACCTTTTAGTTTAAATTGAAAAACAAGTCACACATTCATTTTCATTTATTCAAACTATTGACTTTTATTTGATAAACTTCTTTCATATACATTCGATATTTTTTTTTGTTCATTTATATAATTAATTTAAAATCTTATATATTCCATTTAATTACTCTATAAACAATTCCACAATAAAAATCATTATTTATATGTTTTATATGTGTTGAAATTGTTCAACATTAGTCGATTTAAATATGTCTTAATTAAAATGAAATATAGAATATTTAAATTAGAAAATTTTTCTAAAAGATTTTATCTCACTAAAATGAGCACTTCCAACTCAATATTATTCATTTGATTTTCATTCTCAAATAATCAATCTCATTTATTTCTTTTACCTAAAGCAAAATAAATATAGTACACCACTATTAAAGTTGTTCTATTCAAACGAAACGGAAGTAATCCGGAAACATGAATATATATATTTCATTCCAAAGATGTCAGTATCTGACAAGAAAGTGAAATGTCGATAATGCAAAATCTGTCATGTGAAAGACTACAATTTAACTCTTATTTTTTAATGAATACTTTAAAATACTAATTGTTTAAATGACGTGTATAGATAAAGATTTTTGAGGCCTTATTTTTACAGCTTTTTTAGAAACTCATCTTTTTATACAAATATATATGAACTATCAGAATCCAACCACAACTTTATCTCATTTGTGTTGTGACTGCTACTGAATTTATTAAAAGTTTATCCTAAACTTCACGTAAGACCAACTAACAATGTCATTTGAACTTTATTAATCTTCACATGTAAAATGAGCAATAATGTGTGTACTTTAACGTACTAAATTTGACTGTTTTTTTATTCAGTGATAATTGTTGAAGTTTTTGAAATCACTTTTTCACTTAAACAGAGAAAGGACATTGGTATGTACTGTCTCTAGACGACCCGTACCGAGTGGATAACTCGCCTGGCGAAGTTGTGAAGAGACTGATTGAGCCAATAAGTGGTACAGGGCGGAACATCACTATGGCTAACTGGTTCTGCAGTGTGCCGCTTGTTGAAGAACTTTTGAAACACCACAAACTGACCATTGTTGGAACTCTCAGAAAAAATTAGAGGAAGATACCCCTCCAGAGTTTTCCCCTTCCCGAGTTAATTCTATTAAAAATACTACAGCAAAAATGATTGGTGACCATTAACTAGGGGATAAATATCGTCATTACAATGCAACTGTTTAATTTATCATTTCAATGATTAAACCTATCTACATATCCATTATTCATATTCATTATTTTTTTCTGCTATTATAATTGTGCAATTTTCTGTGTTAAGATGAAAAGAGTAAGTCTTTTTATATATTTTGTTTTTATTTGCTAAAATTCACTAGGCATTTTCTCATATAAAAAATTTATTTCATTTTTCTTTTTGTAAATATACAGCGAGACTATGTTCAATCATATTTGTTTTTCATTTGGCTAATTTTCCATGTAAATCTTAACGATTATCATTGGATGTTAATAATGTGAGTAGAGAAATTGTTTAATTTTTCGTCCATACATAATTTCATAGTAATTTGATGACCATTAATATATTTTATATATAATTTCAAATGGTAATATGGACAAGAGTATCAATTTATACATGATCATATCGGTTGATGTTTGTTTGTAAAGGTAAAGATACAAAATCATAAATACAACTTGTTTTGTTTTATTATTGTCATCGATTATCACAAAAGAAAAAGCACACAGATTGTAATTACAAATATACAACAAAAGAGACAAAAAAATAAATGATTGTTTGTTTATATATTTTTTTTAGAAGTGTATAATATGAATACTTTTATCTTCGAAAACAGGAAAAAAAAAATAGAGCACATGCAAAAACGAGAAAAAAAAGATTAATGTTTTGGTGTTGTTTGCCAATGACTGCCGGCACCACGCAATTGTTTAAGATTTTTCCAACGTTTTAATGGTGTACTTTGTAAACGTTTAATAGTACTTGATGTTTCACCTGTTGTTTGACGTTTAATTTTAATTGTTGTCGATGATGAATTTTTATGTTGTTGAATTAATGCACGTTCCATTAATAATTCGGATGTTGTCGGTGGTGGTGTTGATAGAACATTGAATAACGATGATGTTGGTGTAATTTGAACGGTTGGTGCTGTTGTCGGATGACGATGAACAAACGATGACGAAGATAATGCACCGAATGATTTTAATTTTGATTGTTGTTTCTCGTTATCAGTTCGTTTTTCAAACGCTAATACTTGACGAAAGACTCGACCCGTAAGTTCACCTTGTAATTGAAGTAAACTTTCACGACCATTGATTCCAAGTGAACTCTAAATAAGCGCAATAAAATAGTAACAAAATATAGCTTAAATGGGTACACAAAAAGAATAAGAAAAGATGTGGTTAAGGTCCACAATATTAATCATACAGTAATCCTTGTCACGTAAACTTATTAATCTCCTCTTCAAACATCTAAACATAAAAGAGACAGACCATCGATATTGACTCAAAGTCACATGCTGTTCTATTCAGTAAAAAAGTAGATAAATCAACCATAATGGAATGAGTCAACGATCCAGGAGTTCAGATACACAATCGAAAAAAAAAGGTAGATGTAAAATACGTTTGTATCAAAATTGAATTCGATCGTTCGATATATCATAAACATACGATCATCTTTGACTTTGTCGAAAGCCATAAATTTTAATTAGAAGCATTATATAAGTTAACTGACAGTTTTTGCTATCTCTTATTCTTAATTCTGTGCGTTCAAATTTCAAGCAAACCTGTAAAACTTTGAGATTTTAATTACTCAACAGTCTTCAATTAAAATGGCAACGTCTATCAGTTACAATTGGAACAAACAAAACAGATCTTAGCAACCATTCAAAAAACAAGTACTATGTCATTTATTTCGCTCTGATTTATACAAATAATTTTATTATTATTCAAATATATATCCAACTTAATAACAGCAAACAAAAAAAATAAAATGTAGCAGGTGCAACAAAACTAAGCGAGTAAATAAAAGATTTTGTGTTTTCTCACATGCAACAAAACAACAAGATTAACTTTTAACCGTTTCTCACCTCATCATCGTCGAAATTTACCAATTTATTTGTGATCGTTGGTGTTGTTAAAGGTAATGATAAAAAGTTCGAATGATTATTGTTGTTGTATGGTGAATGTTCTTGTAATGGTTGACGAAGTGATAAATAATGATGTTGTAGTTGTTGATGATCTGTAGGAAGTGAGGCTGATGATGAGCGTTCTTTACGAGACGTTGTTGTTGTGGCTGAACGTACTAACGAAATAGTCGAAGATAAACTGGAGTAAGATGATGAAGATAAAATAGGTGGTTTTGGAGTGGCAGATTTTGAATCTAAATATATGAGAGAAAAATAGATAGATTAAATAAGCACGCAGAATATAAGGTGTTGAATCAACAAAAAACGAAATATCTCTTGTATATTGTTGTCAAAAAAGAATGACAGAATGTTTTCTCATTCTATCACAACTATCATTTAATTACCTCCACTGATTCAATCTTCACTCTTTTTGCATTAAATCATATCTTAAGAAAAAAAACAGCTCAAAGCATATGCGCTAAAGCGAAAGATATCTGAGAATCTGCCAAATTATTATAATAAATCATACACGCTCATAACACTAATTCTCCTCTATTTTGAAACTGTTTTCTAAACCGCTCTCAAAATCTAGTTCTTTTTTTTCTTCACTAACCACTAGCTGGCGTTGTACTTGTTTTTCGATGGATTGAGCATAATTGAATATGTTCTTCATCATCTGAATCGGATAAACGCACACAACGATTTTCACTTCTTTTTAATATTTCATCTAAATCATTGAATTTATTTTCTTTGTTATTATTGTCGTTGTCCTCTACTGCAATTGATTTGTCAGGAAGATTACCACCATCACTCATACGTTTCATTTCAATTACATGTTGATCAGTAGAAACACATAACGTTTTTGTTAATGTTTCATCATCGGGTGGTGTTGTTAATGTTGACATTGACATCTGGACATCCATGACATCTGACTGATCTTTGAAAACACTAGAAAGGAAACAAACACATGGCTCATTAACTCAGAATGGCTAAGCATGACACTGATCCAAAACAGATTTATTAGAGACAGAATAGTAACCGATTCGCATATTTTTAAAGGAAAAATTCAGAGAAAAAGCCTACGGACAGTACAATTGCTTAATTCTAAATCAAAACTAATCTACTTAAAAGATTCTTGGTTGTTAGTTGAATGTTACCTAATTGTTTGAATATGTTCACTTGTTAATAGATCTTCGTCCATTTTATCTTCTTGATTGTCCTTCATCATCATTTGTTCACCAAAACCGTCTTGTTCATCGATGAATGCCACATTCAACGATCCACTATCTTGTTCACCTTGACCACCACTGCTGGTGCCCATATTACCTCCGGTTGGTTCAGAATATGCCCGTAACGATTGTAAATCATCAGCCACTACCACCACAGCCAAATTTAATTCATCATTTGTTTCATCAAATTCATCATCATCATCTTCTTCTTGAGTATAATTTAAATCGGTTGGTACTGATTGAGTTGTTATCTAAAAGAATATAGATTAATAACAAAATTTAGAAAAAAGAAAATATTTACTTGTTCTTGAGCCGAATAATTGTGATTTTGATAATGATGGCGGTGTGAGATATTATTATTATGATTATTGTTGACATTTGTTGATATTGACCGTCGTGGACGACAAGGAAACGTGCCAACATCATCGGAATGACGACGACGTGATAAATCGGCAGCATTACTCAAATGATGAAAATGTGATAAATGATGAAGGGGTGTGTTGGAAGCTGTTTTGTTGTTGTTGTTATTCAGACAAGAGGCTAAACGATTTTCTATAACAACAGATGGTTGGTGATGTTTGGATGAGATTGAGATTGGCGAAGGTGAAGACGGAGATTGTGTAGAAGTGGATGATGACATCATCATTTCACCATGAATGGCTTTTAACGGCTGTTTACGTTCACCGCGCTTTAGAAAATCAGAATAAAAAACACACTGTTAACCAACACATAGATAAGTTTCATGAAACTGCATCTCTCGTGTAGACAATAGTAAAAACTGCAGATCCTGCTTGACTTCTTTTGCTTTATACTTCAAAATGAGTATAAAAAATACTCTTAGACTAGACTTGAGTTCTCTCTCACAGCTCGTAGATATCTCCAAAGAAAATTATAATTGAACTTTATGTTCTAGCTTGATAAGTACACTCTTTCTCAAATAGATAAACAATAACAAATGTAAAAAAGAAACATTATACGCACTTTGCTTGCTTTAG